AGCCTGTTGTTATTAATAATCTGTCCTTCTCTACAGTAAAATCTAAAGCACCTGTTGAGTGTTAGATACGGTTCCTTCCAGTTTGGTATTTACAGGAACTTACTATGCTAAAATTAAAATACTAGAAAACAAACAAGTCAGTGTCTTCTGCTCCATGGGAAAGTGAATGTCACTGTGATCCTCACTTGCACAGGGCTGCTCTCCAGGTCTCAGTCCACACAGCCATTACTCTGGGACTAAGCTGACTGAATACTATTCTCATTATGGGGTTCATGCAAGATACGAGAATAACATTATCACAGCTTATCAGTATTATATCAACATAATAATATCTAAAGTTTAAATCTGTCACATTCTTGAAGGAGGAACTAGGGTTTAATTGCAAAATGCCAAGAAAAAGTTCCCTCTTTTCCTCTTATTCAAGTCTGGGCATTGCAAGACTTTCAGAAAAGTGGCTCCTTGAATACTGCCTGATCAGCAGCTAAACAGCTTTATGTCCATGGAGGTTGTCCTTTCATCACATTAAAATCTGCAAACAGCATTGACATCGTATTTCCTTTGGATGAGTGTGATGAAAGCAACAATTCCTAAGAAAAATTACTTACAAAAGTTATTTTGTAAAGATGATCACTAGAGCAATAATGGCATATCGTCACTTTCCCTAATTATTATGGCTCATCTCACCAGCTTCTGAAGGAGTTGGGAAAATGCACAAAAAACTGTAAAGGAGGCCCAGAGGGAGCTCCCTATCCTGCCCTTGTGCAGATATATTTCAGTGTATCTAAATCTGGTTCCAAAGTTAGTTCTTTCATCTTGGGGCACATATACTGCAGACTGACAGTGCTGGATTAATGTTTGGACTTGATGATCTTAGAGGACTTTTCCCACCTAAATAATTCTATAATTCTACTCAGTGCACATGATGGTTGCTGTTTACACTATCAGTGTATTGTTGGTCAGTAGAACAGATCTTACCATGGAGTGTTGAAGTAATTTGAAAGTAGTTACTCTCTTTCATACAACCACTGTCACTAAAATACACCATCACTTTCTGACAATAATGAAACAAACATTATACCACTATGAACTGAAAAATACCCCACCCATGGCAAACATCCTTACTTCCTTTTTTTTTCAATTATTGGTATAACAGAGATGTTGCTGCAGAATTTGAGAGATGGGATTAAGTGTTCAGAGAAGGTCGATTTATACATAACCCTTAAAGGCCTTCAGAGCCCATTTCCCATGGTGTCTGGCTGAAGAAGACTGTAGTATGCACTTTCGCAGATCAGGCACCTAGAAACAAAGACTGCACAAATGAAATATGTAAGAATCTAAATATTCAGACTCCCTGGCTGCTCTTGAGTTTTCTGCAGTGGTCAAAAGACAAGGGAATGTGAAGAAGTTCTGGTTTTGGGGAGTTCATTAGAAGTGCATTGAACAACAGAGGGGAGTGGGAAAGTGCTTCTTTGAAAATGAAGTGGTGACTGGTATTAACTGTGGATTAATCTGAGAAAGGAGCTGTATTTTGGTAATGAAAGTTAAAATATCCAGTAAGACCAGAAAAGTTTTGAGCTTTGGAAATGACACAAGGCAGATCTGACTTCAGCATTACCTGAGAAGATGTAATTAAAAGAACTATTTGGGATCATTTATATTGAATAAGGTTCTGTTGGTAGTAGTACCACTATCATTTCTTAGCTTTGAGGATTTTGTAATCCTGAGAAGTGATAGAGAGATTTTCTTCAAAAATACAGAAACAACAGGCAACTTATCGTATGTATTTCATTAACATTGTGCAGGTGAACTGTGAAATGGACCTTTTTATAAGTAGAACTGCTAGCCATAATAGTCCATTTTGAGCAGTTAATTTTCAGTTTTTGAGTCATTAATTTTATTACAGAACTTAAAATAATAATTAATTTTTTTTTTTTAGAACAGTGGAGAATTTTTACACTGCTCACATCAAGATATGTAGAAGTACATTGGAAGAGTTCCTTTAAATTTTATTCTATGCTGTAAAGATGAAATGATTTTTTAATTACTCTTCAATTTTGAAAAAAAAAAATTGTTCTGTCTTTAGTAACTGTACTGTACTTTTTGATATAGTCAGAATCACTGTTTTTGTAGAGAGAGAAAGAAGCCTTATAATTTTGGGACTTTCCTCAAATCAGTTATTTCTGAGAAATACCTGCAATAATATCCACCTGGATTCACACAAACTTTCTTGCTCTTCTAAATATCGTTTTCCTCATTTACCTTATCCAGGTGGAATTTGCCTTTCAGAAGAAAACTACTTTCCAAATAAAGAAATAATTGCCTTATGCAAAGATTTTCCCAGCTAGTTAGTTACTTTTCTTAGTAAATCAGAATTTAAAGTCAAATCCCTCTGCAGGTGTCCAATTTTTCTCTCCATTCACTTCAGTGTAAATCAAAATCTGTGCTATTTTGAGAAGAAAAGAGAAGAGTCTGATTACTGTAATATTAAAGATTTTTAAAAGGGTACATTGTACATCTGTTGATTATGGCAGTAATGCTTTCATTAGAATTGTGATTCCTCCTCTAAGCACCTATTTATGGGCACATGCATGTTTTTGATACAGATCTGTCTGCTGTCCAGGAAAAGCCAGACAGAGGCGTGTGGGAGCTGCTGTTTCTTAATTGCTTGGATAACTGACAGGCTGTGTGGTTCCAAAACTTGCTGTGTTTATAATTCTTGATACAAAAGGCACAAAATGTAGATGTGATGGTGCCAGATAGCATCTGTTTTACGTAGCTTTTGGGTTGCAGTTTCAAATTTGTTATATCCTTGTATTGAAAGGTAGATAAAGGCAGGAGACAGGTAGGTTGGCTGTTTCCTTTGACCTGGATGCACTTGAGGCCAGACAGAGGGATGCTCCTTCCCATGGTGGAATAAACCTCTGGACCACCAGTTGGGACAGAAAGAAAGGAAACAATGTACGAGTGGAGAGGCTTAAGTCTGGGCAGACATTAAGAGGTGATGGGAGCAAGAGCAAAGATACTGTCAGGGCTGGGAAGTGGTGGAAAGAAGGGTTTCTAAAAGGATTTAGCTCAAGTCTTGCACGGCAGGCTGTGTCCCAGGAGGGCATTGACAGTGGGTCCATCATGTTGAAAGGACTGCTGCAAAGACTGAGTGGGGCAAGGGGAATTTTGTTTACAGAGTGACTTTAAACTAGTCAAGGGAAAAGCTTGTGGGGCTGAAAGGTGGTAAAGTGTTGGACCCAGCTGGTTCTAAATGAATGATGGTTACACTGCACATATATAGATGTCTGCTAAAATGACACAGCGTGAAGCCAGTCATTTATTTTTTAGCAGAAGCATATCTACTAATAGATAGGGTGTTATTTTGGTCTCTTCCTACATGTACATATACTTCTGGTATGTTTGCTTAAAAAGACCACACATGGAAAATTGCCAGCAACATTGTATTAACAAAGTCACGTTTATCTGTGATGACCTTTTGTCATAAGTAAATTTAAGGATTGGGTTTCATCAGCAACTCTGATGAAAAGTTCTCTTTAGACTTGCAGATAATAACTTCAGTGCAATAAATACGTGTGACTTTGTCACACGCAAAAATGAGAATTGTCATGAAGATTTGAATATATATTTATTTTTAAACTTTAGTACATGTAGAACATATAGAATATATATACATAAAGCGCATATACAACTCTAGCTGAAATCAGTAAATACAGAAAGGTAAACACTAGCTTATGTGTATCTATGAATTACATGGATTACTGTTTGCATTGTTTTTGTAAGCAACTTTTACTATCTGGAAAACCTTTAATTTGGGTTCTTACTTATATTCATAATGCAGTTCTAGGCAGGTTCAAGATGCTGGTTAACCTTTGAAATGTATACTTACCTACTACTTAACAGAGAGAGGTGACAAGGACGAGCATTAAAACCTCTCAAAACACAGGATCCCCAATCTTCAAGTAGCTTGGCTTCTCACAGTGCGCTGCTATCCAGGGTGCACAAGGCTTATCTACACTCCACGGAAGCTTCATGCATCCAGCCTCCTGCTTTTCAGATTCTCTCTGAAAATGTCAATTGGACATTACCAACTGTCTCTGCCTGCCTTTAATATCTCTTCAATAATTTAATAATTTGTCTGACTCTGTGTGCTAAACTTGTAGCCTATCACACGTTATTTTACTGACCTGATGGCTGTGGTTCTAGAATCTGTGTTTGAAACCTACTGTTCACACTTCATAATACTTTCTGTTTGATTACATGAGTATTTAAAAGTATAAACTTCTGATAATTAACATAGGTATAAGAGTGGGTTTAGATCTTCTAACTGGAAGTCCTAAAATTACACTGATCTAAATTTAAAAGTACATCATTCACAACTTTGACAGTAAAGTTGTACGTTTGGTGAATAATGTATGTACTTTTTGGAAAGTGAAATTAAAAACAAAATCAATTGGTTAGCATTAGAGCCTCTTTGATGTCAGTCTTTTCTGGCATGCTATTAATAAAGGCTGTGAAAAAATGTTTAAAGAGGTCTTGGTACTTTATGGAATTACAGAAGCTGCATTTTCTTATACTATTTTTAAGGCTTTGTAAAAGAGCCTCAGTGAGCTGCCTTGTGTGTTCAGTCAAGCCCCCAGTAACCTGCCCAGGGAGAGCCTGGGAAGAGTTTCCCCAAACACTGCTGACAATCAGCAGTACTACCTTTTAAAAAAACGCTGACTGTGATAGCTTCTGTAACATTGCTTTTATAACTGTAGTAAAATTATAATATAAAACTGACTAAATTACAAATATCGTTACAAAAATGCATGAAGTGACAAAATTTACAACAGTTTCAGACAACAAAGGAAAGATTTTTGTAGTCGTGGAAGCACAACATTTCCACTGCACGTGTGGTAACCCCAATAATCTGAAAATTATAAAATGTCTTTCCTAAAATGAGTTAAGCTATGAAATCTAGGTTTTAGTGATTTTTTTTTTTTTTCAATATCTAGGATGAAGATCGAACAGAGGAGGACAACAGTAGAGTTGAGCCTGTTGGACATGCAGACACTGGCTTGGAAAATGCAACAAATTTTTCCCTGGAGTAAGTTACTGGCAGAACATACTGTTTTGACAATGAGTATGAGGACTGAACATACACTAGCAAAGTACTCAAAACAGTATGAGTGATACTGCTCTTAAGAAAGTGGGGCAATCTCTTTTAGGTCATGTGTGTCATTTTGGTTTTAAACGATTGGGTTCATGGACCTTTTTAAAATAGATTTTAAACAGTTTAAAAAGCCTGTGTTAAAAATGAGCATTGGAAACTTGACATTTATAAGTGCTGATGCTACAGTAGATTTTCTGCCTCAAAGAAGATGATTATTTGATGGAACTTTGAAAACTTGACAGAAGTAATAGGGTCAGTGGTGGTACAAATAGATCAACAGGGAAGAATTTCAAAGGGGGAAATCTTCATTCCTCTCACTAGTTCACAGTCTACTGGGAAGATGCTTGTGGGGGTCACACGTTGTATGTTAAAAGCCTTATACTTTATGAGTGGATCAAAATGGATGTTTTGTTAGCTGCTCCAAATTTAAAAACTCAATCACACTAAAGGATATTTTATTTTATCAAAAGATGCAACGAGCTAGCTTGACGTTTTGCATTTCATTGCAAAGAACAGATCCATACCTCACTATGGAATTAATGAACAAATATCCGTTTGACTCTTAAAAGAAATCATTTTAGTTGGTTAACTTAAATTTTAAATAAAAATAAATCTTCTCTTCCTTATATTTTTGAATTAAATTATGAATTAGGTACAAAGGGTTTAAATATTAGATAAATATCATGGTGACATCTATTAGGCAGCAGATAGTGAGTTTTGCTCAGTTCCATTTACAAAATCTGTTAATCTATTACATTGTAAATTCCAAATGCTGTTTCCTAAATAGAATTTGCAGAACTTCTGTCAAACTTAATGCTTCTTGGTGCTGCTTTTAAGTACTTATTGACTTCTCATCATATGCTACTTCTTTTATTTCCTGTTTTGATCTCATACTTCTTTGCATGTTTGTTTGAAGCAGTTGGCCCGAACTTCTGAGAAAGTCAGGAAACCAAATTGAAACTATCTCTCTGGGAAATGATTATTTCCTTTTGTTTTCTGTTTTACAGAATTTAACATTTGAATTTGGGATGTATTTTTTTGGAAGAAAAAATATAAGAAAAATGAGTGGAAAGACCTTAAAGGGGCATTTTGGAAATATGGAAAATGACTGACTCAAGCAGTAGAACAAGTTAAATCATGTTGAATGGTTGTGAAAACTGAGGTTTTTGGTTGTTTTTTTTGGGGTTTGTTTTTTTTTGTTTTGTTTTTGTTTGTTTTGTTTTTGTTTTTGTTTTTTTTTAATTAAAGCTGTGTTTCCACTTAGGCAATTCCAGGAACAACACAGATTTTCACTTGATCTCTTCCTCAACCCTTACTTTTCTGACTAAGCTAATGGCACAATCAGAAAAAAGCTGATCAGAGGGAGCCACAGGCCTACCAATAGCAAAAGATGTCTTTTAGAGTTCCCTTTGGAGGTTGAAGGTGTTGCTTTATTCCCATGAGCTGCTTTGCACCTGTTAATGAAAACTTAGCCTTAATGTACAGTGAGAAGGAAATGAAGTTAGCCTATGCAGAAACTGTGATAGGGAACATTACCAAATGCTGTATTAAAATGTCAGTCTTAAAACATTGGTCCATGTCTGAAGACTAACAGGTTTTGGACTGAAGTCTCTCATCTTTCCTGTTGTTGCATTACTTTCTTGAGCTACAGACCTTCCACTTACGCTGTAAAAAAGCAAGGTAAAAATTCAAACAGTGATTGAGGCATACAACAAATGTTGTATGTTGCTACCTTAAAAACATATTTAAAAAAATTAATGTGGAAGAAATGTAAACCAAACTGTAACACAGGATTTGTGTTGACTTCCCAACCATATGTGGTCTGGTTATTCTCAAACTCCAGATTAAGAGCTGTAAGCTTTCCTGATGGGCCCCCATATGATCAAGAGCTTATTGAAGGAAGTAGAAAATCTTTTACTGCCATCACAGGGCATTGGTCTTGCTCTTTGCTCCATTTTGAGATTAAACTTGATTTGTACGCTTATGAGGAACAAGCTGTGTGTGTGTATATATATATATATATTGCCAGGAAATATGGAAAAAGTATGTAACACTAGAGAGAGGCATAAGCCACAAATTTAGATTGTGGCTTCCGTTCAGATCTTTCACTTCCAGTTTTACTGAGAGGTTTAGCTTTTGTGTATTATTTTCTCATTTTTGTATTTATAGCTCTTTATGGTTCATGAGCTGTATTCCACCTTTCCAGATGTGGGCATGTTTCAAACACATTAATAGATTTGGTCTCAATCTATTTCTACAATTTCTTTCTGAACCTGTATTTTTCTCTTCTGCTTTTTCCCCTCACTACAGCAAAAAAATATAATTGAAAACTAGATGCATGGTTGCTTCAGGGGACGTCTGGTTGGTTTTGAATGTTATACTTAAATCTTACTTTGGAAGCTTTACCTAGTAAGGAAACACAGCAATCTTCTAATAAAGAAAAGGAATTACAATAAAACAAATTAATGTGTTGTAAAACTGGAATAATTTAGCCAGTTAGAGATTTAATAATTCTCATTTGATTATTTGTTAGTTGTGTGAAAGCTAATGATAAGATTTAGCATTGGCTCTAAGATTAAAAAAGTAAAGCGTGCTAGTGCTATGATCAGCTTTGAGGCTTCTGAGGAAAAATTGTATGTGTCATTTGGGGTATTTCTGCTCAATGGTCCAAACGGTTAAATTTAAATTTAACTTTAGAATAAGAAAGAAATAAAGAAATATGCATGCAATGATGATGATGAGACCTATTTTAATGTAGCAAACTAAGTTTACAAAAAAATTCTTTGGCTTATGGTGGTTCTATTAATTGAACTATTTTTGCTGATTGATCTCCTTTCATGCCATCAGATTACTCTTCAGGTATGTAGCATTCAACAATAATGCTTTCATCGCCATGACTTGATTTCTGCGATGGTTTTGTTTTTCTGTGTGTGTTTGTGTGGGGTTTTTTGGTTCCTTCACGGTACATGTTCATATTCCCTCATTCGTCATTGTCTCACAGTGATATGGTAAAGCTCGTAGAAGTCTCCAATGACGGCGGGCCTTTGGGAATCCATGTAGTGCCTTTCAGTGCCCGAGGCGGAAGGTAACGTATCGTGTAGGATTTTAATTGAATTGTAACTTGCTGTGTTTTATCTTGGTGGTGTTAATTTTTGTATTGTGTGCCTTTGCCTTCAGTAGAGTACTGTCTGTTTTTCAAGAGGCTGTCTCATTGATTAAGACAGGAAGAAATGCAAGTTTACTGACTCTGTGATTGTAATGGACTCTATAATTCAAAGGTCCTGCTTAAAAGGAGTTAGAACTGTGTCGTTTTAATAGAGATGCTATTGTAATCTCAGGGGGAGTTTAAGGATAAAGACATTTCCTTAATTCAACTGGATATTTGTGCAACATTTCCTTGCTGACTGTTTTGAGCCGCAAGTTTCCAAATAACAGCAGGAGTCTAAACCAGAGACATCCTACGCCTGTGCTTGATAAGAGTGGGAGAGAAAACAATCACCATGCTTTTGAAATTTCATTTGTCCCATCTGTTGGGGTTAAAATGAAGTAGCAAAAGCAGTTGAAATATTCTGGTTTTGGGGAAGGTGAACCTGTTTTATTATATGGCAGGCTGAAATTCCTGAAGTTACAAAGAAAAAAAGTGTAAAGAAAGTCCTTTACATAAAAAAATACGATGTGGGGGATGTTATTAATAGAATACATAATCTCTAATGCTTACTTTACTAAAGTAGAGTTTTAGCTTTTAGGCTCATTAATATAATTCAGAAAAATAACTAAACTTTTGTCATAATTAGTGGTGGATATGAAGCTTTTTAGTATCTTGAAAAATTTTAAATCTTCAACAGTATATGCAAATTTTATTTTTGTTGCATAGTCTAAGTATACATTTTTTTTTCTTTAAGGAAAAGGGGAACAAATACATATATTAAAAGTAATCTTTCATTAGGCATGAAGGGTTGTTACATTCTCACATCTGTCATCCCAGCAGTAATTTCAGTTTTATAATTAAGAACAAACCTGACTTGCTATACAAGTATATTTCTCAAATATTGATATCCTACTTTCAAAAATACTTTAGAATTTTAGGTATTTTTCTTTCTATACCAAGTACCTTCACAGGATTTTAAACACAGTACAAGAGCTTTATTTGCAGTTGTCACTTTAAATCCAATTCTTTCATACTCTGACACGTATTACAAGAAAATGTAAGTTTTTCTACTTTAAGGCTACTTTCTCTGGAGACTACAAGTATTAAGAGCAAACTTCCATGAAGTGATAAATTCTTCTCTTCATAATCTGAAATTCAGTAAATTCAGTGTGGGGATGGAAAGGGCATAAGTGAACAGTACTTCAAACATACTCAGAAGTAAATCCCATAGAGTTAGAAATGGTTGAAATGTTCACACAGTTATCTGGGATTTAGACAGTGTCAAGGCCAAGGAAAAGACTGGTTTAAGAACGTCAAACTGCCTACTAAGTATTTATTTAATAAAACTGATGTTAAAATGTGCATTTTGACATTTTGAATAAGAATTTTAACTCAAGTAGAATTCACTTCCAGGCTGTTCATGTGGTTGTCAAGTCTGAAACAAGAGCATGTTAAATGGAAAAGCCGTAAACACAGAAATAAAATATCTCACTTTTTTTTAAAAGGAGTCTAACTATGTCATGTATAATTATATGATAAAGTTTTATTACAGGAAATTCAATATATATGTTTAGAATGAGGACATACTGGAGGAGTAAATTCTGTTATAAGGAAAATAATTTTTTTATTAAAATGCGTCCCCTTTTTTTTTGTAACACTAGAACTCACTTCATAGAAAAATGGGTGTACGTGTAATTGCCACAGGAATTTTTTCCATCCACCACAGAATAATCTGGTGGAGAGAGGAGACACATGGTTCCATGTCTCAGAAGTGTAGGAGAGCAGAGTTGGGAAGGATTTTCAGTATTTCCAAAACATTTCTCCCATGCCCTCTGTATTCTAGTGAAAGAAAGGTAGAGTTCCTTGCTTGGGATTAATTTTAAGCACTTGGGTTGTGCTGCTGCTTTACTGTTTGCATGCCCACACCTTTGCATGTTTTCAGTGAGGACAAAGACATTTCCTCCAGCTGCTTGCAGTGTGGGCAGGCAAAAGAACACACCCAGCTTCAGGTTTGAAACCATTAGTGGGGGTTTTGGTTTCTTTTTTTTCCCCCTCCTGGTTTCTCACTTCTTTTGAGCAGATAAGACATGCTTGGTTCTCCTTTTGGTAGATTCAGAGGGAGAGCATATGCATGGCAGGCATGTGCTGCCTACTTGTTTCTCACTCTAGCACATGGCTGCTCTTTGTTCCTCCTCTGGCTGCAAAGCATAAGGCTCCCTGCTACAATCAACTAACTTATTGGAGCAGGGGATCTGCTCATTAGGAACCTGAATATACAAAACCAAACACAGGACTCAGTAAGGACTTTGAGGGATGTCCAGAAAGAAAAGATCTAATGTATCACAGAGATTAGTCGATTGTCCCAATATTTCTTTTTATGTGCTTGCTGTTGAATTCCAGTTCTGCTGTGTTTTCAGTTGTTTTTCTAGTAGTTCCTTACTTTTGCTTTTAAAAATGATACTCAATGGGCAGTGATTATTAAATCAATAACTATATAAAGAGAAAAGTATAAAAACATATTATGCAATTCACCTTTTTTCCCCCCGTATGCAATAAGCAGGGGCCTTCTTCCACCAGAAAACCCACCGCCCACCCCCCCGCCAAGGAAACACTCCAAACCTCTCAAAATTATGTGCCATAACTATGTCTTTTATTTATATTGAGAAAATATTTTCCTTTTTCATGGTTTTTTGAGGGTTTGGAATAAGAATCTCTTCAGCATTGGCTTTTGATCTTGAACAAAATCTGTAAAGGTCTCTGCCTCATCTGTATAGATGCTACCAATTATTTCTGTTCCCAGTAAAAGTGAGACTTTTTAAAAATAATAAAAAATAGCTCTATTTTTCTCTGGGAAAAGTACTATTGACTTGTAAAGGCATGATAAAGCTTTCTTCTATGGATATGTGTCCTTATTATCCTTCTGGTTTGCCTCTAGAAATTTATCAGTCCGTTATTGGCCATTTTGATTATATGTTTTTGTTAACAGAGTTTGTTCACCTTATCAAAAGGGAAAAGGGGTATACATATTCATCACCTTATGGTTGTACATTTTTCAGCATTAAAGGTTTGTTTACAAACCTTCTTGAACATTTTTGTAATGGCATAGATGCTAAGCAGAATAAGTAGCATGAAAATGAAAGCAGAAGGAAGGACAGAATAGGAGAGAAATAGGAAAGTGTTTAGATAAGAGTAGAACAAAGAGGAAATGAATGATAGCAAAGCATAAAATAAAAGAAAATTCTAAATCTATCCAAAATTGCCTTTAGCACCAATCCTTCCTTCTTATTAGGTGCTCAGATATGAGAGCAAACACTCAGTCCTTTAAGAATAGCATCTGAGCGATCTTGGCTGATGGGGAATGATATGCTGATATTTAAATGGGGATACATCAAGTTATCTGCAAATGCAACAGTAATTATAGCATAATTTACCATTTTATGGCCTCTTCTACTTTTGAGAGTCTTTGAAATCTTCTCAAGCTCTATACCCTAGCTGCACTTCTGAAATCCTTCCATGTCTGTCTATGGAAGGAGATTCAACTAACACAAGGAATATATGAGATAACATCAGAAATGTCTCTGAATAATGATATGGAAGTTATAGTCCCATAGTCCCAAGACTAGTCTGAAGTCTACTTAGTAAAACAGAACAGAAAAGGATTTGGATATTCATCTGAAAACCTCACAGTGAACATCCACTAATAAGTATCAGATATGTTACTTTGATACAGAGAGGTACCTACGGCTCTACCAGCTGTTCTTCCTATTGACATGTGCCACAAAATCCATGATACACTGTACATCTAAAACCTGGCAGCTAAAAATATTTAACCTGTCTTTTTTTTATGTATCCTGAATGTCTTAAAACTATTAGGAATTCTCAGAAGACTGGAAAAAAAGAATCCAATTTTTTTCAGTTTAAATGATGAATTTAACAGATTTTATTTAAAAGAAGATATAAATCTCAAATGAAGTTAGGCATTGAAACATGCACAGATCCTTGCTAGAAAATGTTTCATACTTTTTCCATTCTGTAGGTGTTTTTTTTGTTTGTTTTGCTTTTAGTGAAATTTTCCTTAATGTTCTGGAATTTATTAATCACTTAATATGTCACTGTAAAAATTTTAATTTTTTATTGAAGATGCAAAGAAAACATAAGTAATATCTAATGGCCCTTGTCTATGTGGAGAGTCCATAATACTGCCTTCAAGGTGCCTCTCTAACGATCATATTCTGTTTCATCAGCTAGGAGGTATATGCTGCCTGCCTTTCCATTTATTCCTCTCTTCATTTCCAGCCTTTTACCTCTCAAAGGTAACCATGGTTTTCAAAAACATATGTATGAGGAAAAAAATTCTCTGTGGTGTGAACGTACCATTCCTTCACTCTTGTATCTGAATTCAAGACTGTCTGATCTCAGTCTTTAAAAACTTTTGTAAGCTTAATTTGAAGTATCACTCAAACTAAAAGGCTGAGGAGTAGTTACCAAAGATTGGAAATTGGTTCCGGACTTCAGGTATGAAATCTGATAAAGTGATTTTAGTGCCTCCACCGTAGCTCTGTGACGTCAATATTGGGCAAAGGAGTTTATGTCCAATTTAGCATGGAGTAGGCATGATAATTTAACTTGAACAAACAAGCTGATTTGCCTACTCTGACCTCTGAATCTAGGAAATTTATACTGTGTTTATGTTCTTGTAGAACTTCTCAGAGATCTTTCATTCTGTGAAGCTGCTTCACATCAGCTTTTCAATCAATCCTTATTTCTGTCACTTAATCTAGTTTTTGCCTTTTCATGTTAGAGACTTTACATAAACATCTAAATTGGTTATTTTCTGTTCTGTCTGATTACATTACAGTTAGCTTGCAGGTAATAGGTAAATAGCTTCAGTGTGTATGTACAATGGGCTGTGATGGTCAAATCATATTCTAGATGCTAAATGTCAGTTTTTATTTTTACTTACACTGTCAGTTTTTATTAAGACAAATTATCATCATTTCCATACATCTGGATGGCATGTGGGGAGTTCGCATTTCAAGAACTACCCCAACTAACTCAGGCAATTTAGATGTCAATAAAACATTCACTGCTTATTTCTAGTTTTATCATTGGTTATAATTTATACTGAGAAATGAAATGTTAACACATGTAGCTGAGTTTATTTTAATAGTAATTAGAGTAATGAACCTTGTGGAAATACAGTGGTGCAAATACTAATATAATCTCAGCTGCTTACATTCCCAATTAGGTATTTAAAACAAATACAAAGACTGAGCTCTTTGCATTGGCACTGTTTCCCTTCTGTCCCTATGTCAACTAATGTTAGTCTAAAGCAGCGCAGGTACCAAATTTCCACTTATAATTATTGTTTCAACAGGATCGTAGACTTGCAGAGTGTTTTGCGAAGGTTTTCATGATATTTAATCTCATTCTTGAAAATGTTAGAGTTTAAAATGTTTATAATGGAAGAAGTTTTGTTAGAAACCACTTTGACTAACTGGACAAGATTAAGCAAATTCAAATGCACCCATACATTTGTATGCTACATGGTTGTGCTTAAAAAAAATATATACTGACTTTTGTACTTTATACTAGATGAGTTTACAGGCTTTCAAAATTTATGTCTTCCTAATGTAGGAAACATAATATTGAAGGTGTAATAGAGCCACATCTCCACTTATCAGGATTAATGGTGGAAGCATATAGCAGGGAAAATAATCCAATTAGTCTTTAGATTATTACATATTTGCAATATCAAGTCTACTCTGTTTATCTCTAGTTAGTGCAACAACAAACATGAATTCCCCTACTGCCTTTTTTTAGAGTCATATTCTTACATCTAACCATAATATGCTGAAAAAATGCTGTAGGAAATTGGTAGGCTTTTGCAACTAAAATATTTAGGAACTACATTTTCTTCGAGTTCTAGTAGAGTTTCCTCTGCTCTGCAAAATCTCATTCTGGAAATTGTTTCTGGAACTGTGTCTAAAGGGATCTTTTGCCCCATGTCTTTATATAAAAATTAAATGAATTAAAAGGCACTGTGAGGATCCTGGTTTCAGATTTGACTCAGACTGTTCATCCAGCCTTGAATCTGTTCTCAGTGGCTTTAGCTTTATATGCCTTGGTTAACCTAGCCCTGACATTTGTTAAAAAGCAAAATCCTCGTGAGGACCATATGCTGAGTCTGAGATGAGCAGTCTTGCATTAGCAGAATTTGTAGCCTTTGTCTAATGAGATTATTTACAAATTTGACTGGTAGTTTGTTCATCTGTTACATTATTTTACTATTGGTTAGGATTAGTAACATTTTTACTAGATTTCAGAGCTTAGGTGAAGCACATTTGAGAAATTACAAACCATACGTAAAGGTGCATGTTGCAATATAAATTTAATATAACTTCGGAATGTGAAACAGTAAAAAAACAACATTTCAAGAAAAATGCTATGTCAAAACTATTGATAGAGCAATTACTTTGTAATCATAAGTACGTGGAGACATTGGGATGAACATAACCATATTATTTTGTACAGTGTACTATCTTTGTATTAACTTAGATTGTTATGCTTTGTGTAGATATTGTTTTAATATTTTGATTTTTTTTATATTTAACCATATGAACCAAACACCTGTTATTGTTACTAAGTGTCCTCTTGTGCAAGCACTACACGCACATCCAAATTCTGAATTGTCTTTGAGCATTGCAGAGAAGTGCCACTGCATCCAAAAGCTGTTGGGCATCAAGTGAAAGGAAAAAAGACATAATTCTTTCATCTTCCCTCAAATATTTTGATGGTTCTCTCTTTAATGTAGCATTCCCAATTTTATATTTTCTTGCCTCTCTCTTCCCTGTTTAGAGGTATCCGCTTCAGTAGCTTCCCTTTGTGGCTCAAAGACAGTCTCCCCAGACAAATTCATCAACTCACAAGTGAAAAAGTCATGAACTTGTTTTCTAACCCTTTGGTGTTCTATGTATCAAAACTGTATTTATGATATAAATAATACAGTGAAGGCATACAAGTATTTTTTATTTTTATCATTAATATTCCTGTTACTTCAGTTCTTTCTGCAACTATCACTCTACAATTTTTTTATAATTACGGATCAGTCTTCAAAATCCAAGACTGCCTTCAAAGCTTATTTTAGTGAACAGAATGAAAATAGGGATTTAATCGATATTTAAAAATTTGTTTTGTTTTACTCCTGTGACAGCATACCTTCATAATTATCAGAAAATTTTAGTACAATAAATGGAGCACAACGTTGTCATTAAGTTAGTGTGCCACTGTTGTGGACTTTTAGAATTTTTTGTCATGCAAACTATTAGAGGGTTGTGGGAAAGGCAAACAGAAACCCACTTAAAATATCTAGATAATACAAGGGACTTTGCTGCTTTGGTGAACAGGAAAAAAAGCAAGCAAGGAAGAATTGGTTTTGCTTTAGAAAATTAGGGAAAATTTAGTTTGCTTTTGTTAAATAATTTTCCTTTTTAATGAGAGTTGCTGAGTTGTTGGAAGGAATCCACAAATGGTAGAACTTTCCAGACACAAAGAAATCTTGTGATGGGGAGGGATAGAACTAGATTCAAACTAGTACTGATTGTGTTTTCCAGATTTTTTTTCTTTTTTTTATTTTCAGAAATGCATGTATTTTAGAGAAATGATACTTTATGGAATCCCCCTGTTCCTCATGCTCACCAGTGTTACTACAAAGAGACAGATAGCTAATTGCAGCAGCTGACCTGAACTCAAGTCCAGTCACAGTTAGTATCAGTTAATGTACTCAAGCAGTCCATTGGGAACCAAATGAGAGTGGAACAAGTTTTGCCTCTGATGGGACCCCAGATGGGTCAAAGGTGCAATTAATTATATGTTTGCACAACACTTCCTGTCAGTTGAAAGCGGAATAGTATCACTTAAATGTTAATGTCTGACTCAAGCTTCATTTGATGATTTGTTGTCAGAATGCTTTGTGTTGTTTTTCTCCTCACAGTCTGTTTACATGTTTAGATCCTTTCAGCATCATAATGTCTCTAGGTGGTTCCAAAGTGGAAATACTACTAGGATCATTTCTCTTGCTCTTCATCTGCCTTGTAGGAGAAAATGTATGACAGTTCTGTAAAATAAATGTCTCATTTGCATATGTTGGTGATAAATTGGTAAATGAAGAATTTAAAGTGGAAGAAATAAGTTAATTTTGCTTTTCTAACCTGTTTGATTAAGTGCTCAAGTGCATATATAACTTCTGAGCACATGAGGAATCCTTTTAAGCATCGTCGACTGCTCATTTACTTTGAGGTATGTGTGAACTGAAGTGCTGTGATCACTGAAAGTTTTTCTGCTAAAAGACATATGTGGTCTTGCAATTCCTGCTACACAACCAAGTGTTTTCCACACCATACCTTGAAATGACTTCTGAAAAAGTAATGCTGTTGACTTGAATGATGTGAATTTGACCCACTGATACATCCTGTGGGATTTCAATGCAAAGCTGATCTTCTTTAAAAAAAAATCAAGTGCAGTGTCCATGCAAGAATAATCCTGAAGATTGAGTCCTTCTTCAAACCTAGAGTTCAGGTATAAAAACATCACTGACTTTTCATACTATCCTGACAGTACCTCTGAAATCAGTATCAATTTTATAATTTCAAGTTGAATATTTTTTACCTTTTCTCTGTAAGAATGTCCTTAAGATGACACCGTGGGTAAGCACTAGACAGACATGACTAACTCATTGCACCGAAGCTATCAAATGGAAATTATATTCAGTTAATTATTTTAAGGTGCTGAATTAAAAAATGGCATTTAAGTTTTAATTTTCTCTTTACTGTTTAATAAAAAAAAAAGGTAAGATTTAAAAATAAAAGCATTTGGTTTGCATGAAGTTCCTGAATTCTCTATCCATTCCTTCATTATAGGCTGCTTATTACGTGAGATGACCCCACGTTTCACTTGCACAGAAGGAGTAGTGATGGCTGTGGTATTCTCTGCTAATTCAGAAGTTCATATTTTAAGTTGAACCTGTTCAACTTCAGTTAACTAACAGAAAAAATGCTGTCTCTCAGATGTGTGGTGGTTCTTTTAGCTCTTACTGCTCAGAAATCTTGGCCTTATGCAAGAACGGGCGTGCTATCATCACACTGCCTGTTGGTTCTTACTTTTGACATGCTTGATTCACTTAGGCTTTCTGTTTTATGGAAAAGGGATAATAATTCAGGTAATGCTTATAAGTTATTTGAAACTATGGTACCCTACTTCAAGGTAAAGATGGTTTAAAATGTAGCTTCTGTAGTGATTGTGATAAAACATTAAATCAGTAGGATATTCTATGTTGCAAATTATTCAAACAGTAATCATTTGTAATCTTAATATTCCAGAACCCTGGGGCTGCTGGTGAAGCGATTGGAGAAGGGTGGAAAAGCTGAACAAGAAAACCTTTTTCGTGAGAATGATTGTATTGTCAGGATTAATGATGGAGACCTTCGGAATAGGAGATTTGAACAGTAAGTGTTCTTACTACACGTTACGTTGCATTATTTGATCTTTAACACTGCACCTTGCAGTAATTTGAGGAAGGTAAGAAAAAAATCTTTAAGCTTGCCTTTCTAATAAAGAAAAGATACACTAAGGGACATTTGTGGTTTATATTTAGTCAGACTGAAAAAATTAAGGATAATTATTGTCATTAGAGTATATGCAATTCTCATTTGATTGGTTTTTGTACATCATAGATTTTTTTCTTACAGTGGTAAACTGTTTATCCTGAAATTCCCATATGAATTTTGCTCTTATACTTGCAATGCACCCTGTTCAATATAAGTGGACAGCATATTTTTAACATTTTAAAAATATGTGTGGTTTTGTGTGCGTGAGAACTGTAGGTACTATGTGCCGAAACTTCTTGGAGAAGTCTGAGAGATAAATATTTGCTCCGTTGTTGTCTGGTCTTGGTAGAATCCCGAAATGGTGAATTAGAAAGATGAAAGACTTTTAAGAATGAAATCAGGTTGTAGTTCACACACAGATAATCGAAAGAAAAAAACAGAAAAGAGGTATGCACAAAATGAGTAATTTCAAAGATGATAATAGTGTTCTGAAATCCATAACACGTTGAGGACCAAAGGAATATCATTTGTTCTGATAATTTTGTATTTAATGTATATTTGAAATGTGTTTTTAATTTCTTTGACTCTAACCTGAATTGGAACATAACCCTGTACCATATGGTTGAAAGCAGCTTGTCTCTGATTGTTCTATGGTTCTGAATCACAATCTGTAAAGTCTGTGAAGAGACTTGTTGACTTTGTATACTTTGGATCATGACCTAGAGCCCAATGTCTCTCTGTACAGGATTGAGCTTTTTTTTTCTATTTCTTTATGTTGTATTCTGAAAGACTACTGACTTAAAAAAATTAGAGTGTAAACTAGACTAGTTGCAAGACTGCATATAATCACCAAATTATGGAATACATAGTTTTTTTACAAAGTATAATTTTAATTCTAATAATTCTGTTGTCACTGTGATTACTGTTATCACAATTATTGCAATTAGCAAAGTTCAAAACAAAAGGGCACTGCAGTCCTGCTACAGAACTGTCTGCATTTCAAGACTGTGGTTAAAATTTTCGCCTTTCTGAATTCACTATTTGCTACATTAGTTGTTAAGCATATTTAACCGTTGTGTTGCCCTCAAGCAATAAACCTTAGCTAAAAGCAGACCAAATAGACTAGTGAACAGATTCAAGCTTTATGGTTTATGCTTGAGTGCAATGTGTCTGTCAGCTCGTGTTGCTTAATTAACATTAGTAATTATGCTTATAATGCCTTGTAGCCTGCCAGTCCTAATTTGCTAATTTTCTGTTCATTTTAAAACCTAGAGCACAGCATATGTTTCGCCAAGCCATGCGTACGCCGTTCATTTGGTTCCACGTGGTCCCTGCGGCAAATAAAGAGCAGTACGAACAGTTGTCCCAAAGCGAGAAGAACATGTACTACTCCAGCCGGTTCAGCCCCGATTCCCAGTATGCTGATGGGAAAAGTATTAACAATTCTGGACTTCACACGTTACAAAGAATGTCTCGAGCGGGTAACCAGTCCGATCAGACAGACTCCTACTCGCAGCTACCTCATAGTGTGAATTCATCAGGGAAACCACCCTCTGGCCTGGTACCATCACCTCAGAAAGTTCTCACCTCCACTGCAAACAGTGGGTATAACACCAAAAAAATAGGGAAGAGGCTCAGTATACAGCTAAGAAAAGGTAAGACGCTAGTGCACTCCTCATGTAGCGTGAGGTGTGTGTGTGTAGTGCATGCAGGTGTGCCCAGTGCCATTGTGTTGGGCAGGATGGCTGATAAGAGCACGGGGGGTGCAATGGATTGATTTTGGAAGCCAAGGCACTGAGTACCTTTCCTCCTTGATAGCAGGCCCAGGAGTCCCACCCTGCATTCAGTGTGTGAAGTGTGTTTCCAAAAGGCCATTTTGAGGAGTGCTTTAACATTGTTTTCTGTCTCTCAGATAATAAGGAAATGCAGTAAGTGCCTCAAATTCTGTTGGCCAAGACCCACAGAGTGGTGAATTATTTAATATAAACAACTAAGCTAAAATGGCCCATATTCTGTACTTTGCAGTTATCACGACTTTTTAAATTGAGTAACTCTTTTTTGCCTTTACATTTTAAAAACTGGTTTTGATCCAGTTGGTAAATTGAACTTTCTAATTTCCAGTTAAATCTTTTCTTTATTCCACTGAGATGTGAAAACCTTTGGTTAAAATGTAATGTGATATTTCCTATCTTGGCCCTTATGCTAATGTAATTTGAATGGGGATAAGACACTATTTAAAGTGGTTTGTGCTTATCTCAACATCAGTGTTATATGTGCACAAGTAGATGTGTTGGTACATCTGTGGAATTTTTATGATGTGAGAATAGTTGGTATTTTTGTGTAGTTACCATTTACCATCTAGATGCTTTTAAGACAGTTTGAACCGTAATAAAAAGATATTGAGATGGAAGTATTTCTTAGCTCTTGGGAAATGATTTTTGTGAAGGATTATAGATACTGTAAACTTTATGATATTAAAATGAGCATGCTTAATGTTAGATATAATTTGGTCTCCAGCAGTAAGAATAAGGTTTACATTACACAACAAAAAGTTTACCAATATGACAGTTTTCTTCATGAACTCAGAGTATATTCCCCTTAAGATATTATAAGTGCTAATGCTAATAACATTTATTAATTAATGTTTTTATTGAAGACAATGCATCAAATGGTAGAGATTTTACAGTTTTACAGGTACCAGGCTACTTGTCAAATTATCGTTCTGCTTTCCTTTCTTTGAACTTCACATGAACCACCAGATTGCTTCTTTCTGGTTGCTGAATTTTAAGCTCTACAAACTTGGATGACATAAGGTTGAGTTGACAGTTTGCTTCTGTTGTTGATGCTCCTTCAAGAATTTCTTTAGGCCATCAGCTCAGATCAGCCTTCTTGGAAAAACTTATTGTTACTGGTTGAGTAAGGAATCAGTGTGCTTATGAATATACTCTCAGTCACTACAGTGATTTTTACCTTTTTTTTTTTTTTTTTTTTTTTTTTTTTTTGTGTCTGTGGAAGCCTGTAGAAATATTACTCGGATAACAAATTAAAGAATTCATAGCAGGAGTAGAAATAAGCCTTTCATATAATTTAAAAGCAGCAAAAATGAATATAGAATATGGGACCACAACATTTTTGCATGAAACAAATATGGTGTTATAGCTGCTCATAAAATACAAGAATATAATTTTGGTGTGTTATGGATTTTTCAACTGTGATATGTTGTTGTATTTTGGTCATCTTGCAGAGGATACTGTTTCATAAATACTTCCCCCAAGGGCTATAACATAATTTATCCTTACTGGCACCAATACATTAGATGGGTTTGGAGTAAAGGAGATGCATGTTGATGAAAAATTATCTCTAATATACATCTACTTCATACCAGAGAAGTTTGATGGCTCTTACACGAGTAAAAGCTTTGCAGTCCATTTCTAGAATATATTTCAGAAGTTTGAAGTGCGTATTTTTTCCTAACAGTTTGCTTATTTGAGAATACTGCTTATGATGAAATGGCACCTAGCTCAGACTACAGGCAGAGATAAAAACTGTGTTTATGCACAGCAAAATTAAAGAAAAATGTGCATGAGGAAGGATGTCTTTTTATCATATCCATCCTTCATTTGTTAATATCCAGTGTAGAAAAAAGCATGTCCTCCCATTTCAGCTTTCATTTGGCCACTCTTGAGAACGTACATGAGCAACAATGCAGCAAAACACTTAGAGATGCCTCCAAGTAGTTTGTTGTAAATATGAATGCAGTAGGGATGTTGATTGTCTTGATGATTCTCTCTAATGAAGGATGTTGCAATAATACAGGCTTTATAGATATTTAACAAATGTGCATGTTTGTAGCTGACAGGCAGCAATTGTTTCACCAGTCACCATCATTACTTTAAAAACTGCATTAAGGCATACAAGCATGCAAGATGTATTTAAATTCACTTTTGATTTAACCTGTACATTCTGATTACACAGGTAGTACATGAGAATTGATTCATTTTCAATACAGACAGACCTTCTTTATTACAGCTGTGTTTCTTTATATTGCATGAGCTTTATTATATAGGATGACATGCTAAGATAACCCTACAGCATGTGCTTCTGTAATTATGATTTCTTAATATTTATTGCTGTTTTGGCATTTTAAAATAACCTGAACTTTCATAGGATTTAGCTGTTTAATAAAGTCAGAAGAGAAGGTCAGTCATATGTTTCAGTCAATGCAGAATGTTTGTTGGCTTTTCTAAATGAAAATGGATATCTGTTTATCTTGCCTTAAAGGTCAGGGCCTGAACTTTTAGCATATAGATGTAGGGGTTATTGCTGATATTCTAATGCCATTAAGGCTGTATAACAGTCTAGCTTAATAGTTCACACAAATTAAGATAGTGCAAGACATGACAGTGAGCCTGTATTTATATATATTTTGGTGTAAACTGATACACAGGAAGTATAAATAAATAAAAATGGTTCTTTGCAGCTGATGAATAAAGAAAATAAGACCACGGATATAACACGGATATAACAGAGTGTTAGGACAAACTTTGACCTCATATACACCAGGACACTCCCAGAGTCTTTCTTCTTTGGTTGCAAGGCTTTGAGCCACTGCAACTGAGAGGAATTGAGTCCACCCTTATAAATAATGAATAAGCAATTATGCAGCAAATGAGTCTAAGGCTCAGTCTTTGAGCACTTAGTAACTCACAGCATTTAGCCTGATACTCACTAAAGCATTTAAAAGACTTCATTCCGTTGGACATTGTGTTTCTCAGATTTCATATATAATGGTTTTGACACCGCTGTACTAAGACAAACCTGAAGGACTCAATCTGTAAATTAACTTCATCTTACCTGATTGGCCTTAGTACAATGCTTATTGCATCATATAATTTCTATCTATAACTACATATTTATCTAGATAAATTAAATATCTAATTCTTGAAGTAAAACATCAAAACTGAGCTCACATTTTTTCAGTTTGTCCTAATTCTACCAAATATTTTACTCAATTTTCATCTGAGGTATTCAGTGAATCAGGACCACGTCTCCCTGCTTTCAGAGGGTGACTTAGCTACTGACCATGGGAATTGTGATCATCTCTTCCTTTTTGGCCCAAAGAATATTTCTCTCTTGCAAAACAGTATAGCTTCTAGGGAAAGAAGTGACAGAGCTATAGGATACCTTACAGCAGGAAAGCTGTAGCAATTACCAAGTTCATCACAGAAAGGACATAGCATCTGTGTTCTAGGAAATGGTGAGTCCTGAAACAAAGAAGGCACCTCTAAGCACTGCAACAAAAAAAAAAAATGCTTGAATTGTAGATTTGAGCAGGATTACAAGACTCTTTGCTCTTCACAATTTCTTATTGGGTTCCTGTTTGGCTTGCTGGCTTTTTGTGGTTAATAATGCTCCATCTTACATACAGAGACAATCTGAAGCACTGCAAGTCCCACCAGGTGACTGGGCATTGAGTGCTATAACATGGTGACATTCATCCCTGCTGTGCCCAAATTCTTTTCTGCAAGAAGTCATTAGAGACAAAAATAAGATGCCATGGCTAGTTTGGGAGGAAGCTAATTTAAAATTGCATCATGTTTGCTCTGGAGTAGGGCACATCTATGGACAATTACTAGTTTTACTTGGGTTCATATAGCACAATATACAAGAGAGGACCCTGAACTTGTCTGTAAGATATCCTGCATCATGTATCTGAAGTGTACAGATTTACATGCATTTTTCATCATACTCTCCTGTTTTCCCCACACAGTTTCTTGAGCCAGACTTTGAACTGACATTTAAAATTTTTGTTTAAAATTGCTTTTGAAGTGATATGTTCTCTTCGAATTCTTGTTCAGATACAGTAAGGGTGTTTGTCACTTTAGAAGTGAAGCATGCAGATTCCTAAATTACCTCGATGACCTTGGGAAATGAGACTCAAAAGTGAGGCAAATAATTTTGGGTATTATTAGTCACTGAAGAACCATAAAGTGCATCAAGTTTCATCTTTCCATTTTTTAAAACCACTTCTGATCACTATTAGCAGGCAGTAGCAAAAAGGGAAAAGAATGTTTCTATTAGGTTGATCAAAGATCTTCTTGAGAAGTCTGAGCTTGGCTTGGAAAAAAACCCACACTTGTTCCAAATCACTCAACTACATACAAGTGGGCATGCAATTAGTCTTGATTGTGCATGTAGCTGCAGAAATTTTATAGACAGCTGAGCAGTCAGCCTTCTAAGCAGTCATTTGCATGTGTAGTTAGCCTGACTACATGTGCACAAATTCTGAAAATATGGGGCATAAACTAGGAGCAGTAAAATGGTCTTGGTTAGCTCAGTGAAGCCCCTTACAATAAGGAGAACATGTTTGCTGTTCAGCTCTTGCAACATAAAATACTAGGAAAATTATTTTAGTAGTCTCTTCTCTGTACACGAATCTCCAGAAAGAGTCTCCTGTGAAAAAGCAGGGAGTTGAAATGCTTGGAAGGGCAGTGTCTTCTCCAATTATTGTCAGAGGGCATTTGGCCCTTCTGCTTAGTTTTATTGTAATGTTCTCTCTCTCCTTATTCTGAGTCCATTTATAATCTAGTACTTTCATTAAGTGAGGATGCTTTATTTTATAACTTTTGTGATTTTGTGTCACACACTGTTTATATATGCAACCAACCTTTCTTTACTGTTTTAGGAAAGGGAGAATGTGTTCTTTGTCTTTCATGAAGAATCCACACTTTTCCTTAATAATCCTTTAGTTGTAGATGTGAGCAGGATTATGAGATCAGAGGACTGTTCACTGACATGAATTTTCCATATTCAGGTTGTTCTGAAATGTTCTCTGCCTCTGTGAAATGTTTTTGCCTCTCTTGTTTGTGTAGGGTTTTTAAATTTTTTTTAATTCAGAAAGATCCATATTGAACTACCTTAGAAATCATCTGTATTTTCTTAAATTAGAAGAGAAGGAAGAGCAGGATTTACTTCTAGCTCTGCTTGCAGTCCTGAAGGGGAAGACAATTGTAAGGGAAGTGTCATAAGACATTGACGTGTAGGTCCTTCAGTTGTTCCTTATTGGTCTCTGAAACAATATCCTTTTGAGAGGGATGTGAAAACACTACAGGCAGTGCAGAGGTGATGCTTGGTTTTTTGTGTTGTATCCTGTCAGTGTTTCTATCTAGCAGCATGTTTTGCTGCTGAGAATTTAGACCTGCAGCTGGTTCTGGGTGAGGAATGCACAAGTTTTCGTACAGAACAGTCTTAGGAAAACAGAAACATTATGCCAGACACACTCTTTCCACAATGAAGAAGGTAATCCCAGCATTAGTGAGAAATTAAGTACTTTGTCATTGGGAGGTAAGAAAGTCTAGTAGCCTGTAGTAAAATTTTTGACATCCTGTCAGTTTATGATCAGACTGCTTCCAAATAAAATGATGTTAATTTTGAAAATACGTTTAATTAAATTATATGAAAGGATCTCCTCTACCCTGTTTTAATTGCTACCAGAACTTTTTTCCTCCAACTCTCCACCAACTGAAGCGTCAAATCTGCCCCTCTTCTGTTTGTGCAAAATAGTTCTTTTACCATTGTAACTGCCCTTTCTATTAATCTAAAACTACTTTGTCTTCAGCTCAGAGCTGGCTGAGCTCTTGAGGGTAATGCGACCTCAGAAGGCGTGTTCAGCATCACATTCAAGAAAAAAGGGGAGCTCTAACTTGTCGAGAGAGCTGCTGATTTATCAAAGAAGCCTAAGAATTTGAATTACACAAATTAGTGGGTAATTTTTAAATGTTATTATCACTCGGTGTAATTTGATCGTTGAGTTGACAGCTATGGAGGGAGGAAAATGTTTTCTACCCTTTCTAAAATCTACCCTTTTAAAATCTTTAAGAAATTAAAGTGAACATAACCGAAATAACCTAAACATTGCAAAATGAAGTTTTGTGTAGGATGACTCCCATGTTTTCAAAAATATGGAAATTTCTTCTGTTTTCTACTCATGTTGTGGTTCTGCCTGTATGTGTGTCCAGTCTCTCCTGTATTACTACTATAAATGAGAAATATCAGAGAAGCATACAGTGTGTTTGCACAGTTACCTCATTATTATAATGCAGTTTTACAGCCTAAGAACTGAAAACGCTTTAGCAGCAGGAAGATATTAAGATCTTATATGCATTTCTATCAACAGGAGAATGGAAATGCATGGAGTAGAGATAACTAAATCAGTTGTGTGTATAAAAAGAAAAAAAAATTAAAATCAATTCAGTCGCAGAAGTCGTATTTATTTTTGGCCTCGGTTGGATGTATCCATTTATTTCCCAGTCTTGTGAACATCTAATTTATATATAATAAGCACAGGAGCTTATGAAGCTGTATCCTACAGCTAAGAGCAGCTATGGTGCATGAATAGCAGATTGAATGAGAGAAAAGGTAAAAGGAAAATAGCACCCAAAAGCTGCCTCATGCAAAGCTGCACAGAGCATCATAATAAAACACAGCCCAGTTGAGGGCCCTTCTTTCCACAGAAACAAGTAATTGGAATTTTCTTCTGCTAATGTCTGGGCTCAGTGTGGATTTGTGGTATTCTGCAGGCTTTGGTAAAGGCTTTCTGGAGATTTGACAGCAGAAAATGCCACAGTCCAAATTTATATCCTGTGTGCATTTGTAATGTGAACGTTTCAACTGCTGTTTTTTCCATGGGGGTTTGAAGTGGAGTGTGTGAACCAGACATCTGTAATGAAGCTGTAATCAGGCTATGGGGATTAAGCTTATTAATAATGAAATATTGTCCTGGGAGTGCGTTCCTGTTCAGATATTACTTTAGAAATTTTAGCAGACAAAACCTGTACTCAAAGTGCAATATTCAACACAGATCCTTATAATGAGGAAAAGATAAATTCCATAAAAATATGAGATGTGCCTTAAAAAATCCTTATACAGATCATTTTCTATGTTGCTGGGAGTTAAAGGACTCTATGAATGTTTGAAGCATCATTAAAATTGTGAGGTCTCCTAAGTAAAAAATGGATGTTATGAGATCTAATACCCTTTTTTTTTCTTCTCTGTGTAACAGCACTGATAAATTTTATATTGGCCTGAAAGTGGATGAAGACTTTCAAATTCAAATGTCAGCTATCTCAAATGCTGCAGAAGGAAGGGAAGTTGTCTCATGACAGTTAGCCTAGAGGAATTGATCCAAATTTCCTGAACAATAAGAATTGCATGCCCTTACTGTGTATACAGGAATATTTAGTTATGTTCTAGATGAAGATTTTAAAAGGTTGTATTACGCCCAGCCCTGTCACCTGTGTCAATTTACTTCATAACATGATTAACATCTTGATAATAAAATGTACTGTACTAGATTTTAATCAAATATCATTGTGCAGATTTCAGAAACCTGTAGGTAGACTAGTTGTGACTGTATTTGAATTCTGTTTTCTTTTCATGTGTGAATATTAACCTGATCAACAAAAAAGTAGACTTAACAAATGAGCATGAGGAACAGTAAGACAGAAATTAATTCAGGCTTTAACACTACGGTGAGTTGACCCTGGATGGACACCAGGTGCCTACCAAGCAGCTCTATCACTCACCATCCTCAGCTTGTCAAGGGAGGGAAAATATAGTAAAAGTCTTGTGAGTCAAGATAAGAACAGGGAAGATCACTCAACAATAACTGTCACAGGCAAAACAGGCTTCACTTGGGGAAACTAATTGAATTTATTACCAATCAAATCTCAGTAGGGTAGTGAGAAATAAAAGTTTTAAAACACCTTCCCTCTACCCCTCACTTCTTCGCATGAATTCTTTACCTCCTCTCCCCAGAGGCACAGGGGGATGGAGAATGGGGTCTGCAGTCAGTTCATCACACATTGGCACTCCTTTGTCCTCACAGGGAGAACTCCTCACAGTCTTCCCCTGCTGCAGGCTGGGATCCTTCCCACAGGAGACAGTCCTCCACCAGTATCTCCAACATGGGTCCTTCCCACGGGCTGCAGTTCTTCTGTTCCAGTGTAGGGCCCTTCCCTGGGGTGCAGTCCTTCAGGAACAGGGACCTCCAGCATGGGTCCCCCACTGGTCCCACCACCAAACCTGTTCCAGCGGGGGCTTCTCTCCATGGGGCCACAATTCCTGCCAGGAGCCTCCTCCATGCTGGGCTTCTAACAGGTCACAGCCCTCCTTGGGCATCCCTCTACTCTGATGTGTGGGGTCCTCCACAGGCTGCAGGTGGATTTCTGCTACACTGTGGTCTGCAGGGGGACAACCTGCTTGACCATGGGCTTCACCTTGGCCTTCAGGGAAATCTGTGCTCTGGAACCTGGACTACCTCCTCCCCCTCCTTCTGCACTGATCTTGGGACCTGCAGAGCTCTTTTTCTCAGTCTTCTCTCTGGCTGCTGTTGTGCAGTTGTTTTTTTCCCCTTCTTAAATATGTTACCACCTGAGATGTTTGAAATGGAAGTTGTAGGTGCTACCAGTCTGTTGGGGTGCTCTCTGCTGCATGGCCATCTGGTGTCATGCTAGATTAAGTGTCTATTACACTTGATGTGTAATGTTGGGAAGGCAGGGAGTGACAGTTTTCAACCTATAGTGTCAGGGTTTGTTGCTAACACTGGACAAATTGCATCAAAGAGAGGATCAGAAATGAGCTTTATGCATAGTAGGAAAGACTTCTGTTTGCCCTCTCAGCTTTTGAATTCCAGAGCTGGTGGTACCCTTCATTGATCAGTTGTGGACATAATTTCTCTTAAATACAAGTCTCATTTGCTGTCTTGACTGGACACCCTCTCTGAATTTCTCCAGGTCATCTTAAATGCCTCTGTTTTGCTTCAGTCTGTTTTAGCCAAATGTAGTCAGTCACCTGGATGTACAGCAGGACATCTCAGCAGAAGTGGCAGCCTGGTTCGCTCCCTGCCTGCACAGCAGACCGTGGGGTGGAACCCAACGAGAGCTGGGGTGAAGCCCTGGGGCAGAGGAGCTATCGAAAGAAAACAGACTGAGGTCCCTCAGAGCAGAAGAAATGAGACCACTGAGCTCCAGTTCTGTCACCTGCCAGTGTCCATAAGTAGCTGACAAAGTCCCATAGCCAGCAGCATTGGCTGACTGTCGCTGTTGAAAGTACTGCAAAAGAGAAAGAAAGGATCATTGATGAGATCCAGATTGACAAGGGGGAAGACAGTGATAGGATATCAGATATGCTTTTGTTCTGATTCCTTGTCACTTAGCTCATCTGAAATAGAAAGTCGAAAATATGGCAATGACTTGGAAATCATCAGAACAGCAAGTTGCAGGGAGGGCCTGCTGAGCCACCTGTGCCCAGACTCAGTGCTTCACTTATAGCCTCCTTATAGATGCATTTTGTTTTCTTTTTTTTGCCATGCAGTAATTCTTACATCTTACATGTATTTTCATGGATTGCATCAGCGAGGTATACGTACATTCTACTCAGTAAAAATAATATGTAATACAAAATGTGCATTTTAACTAGCAGTGTACATTCCTTGTGCAGGTACAGAAGGCTTGGGATTTAGCATTACTTCAAGAGATGTCCCAATTGGTGGCTCTGCTCCAATTTATGTGAAAAACATCCTTCCGAGAGGTGCAGCTATTCAAGATGGGAGACTAAAAGCTGGAGACCGATTAATTGAGGTAAGGAAATGTTATGCATTGTTTGTCTGTGTTTTGGCACGTGCCCACACACTACTTTGCTTCCAAAGGCTTGTATATTTTATGTTATAGGAAAAGGTTTCCTTCTTTTTCCTTTTTTTTTTGTGTTTTTTTTTTGTTTTGTTTTGTTTTGGTTTTTTTTGTTTGTTTGTTTGTTGGTTTTGTTTTGTTCTTTTTTCTTTTTATTTTTGGCTTTATTTTTTAGGTAAGAGTACATAACCATTTAAAGAGCTGGACCCAGACATACTATAAAAACATGAGTTTACATGTCCTTATGTGAATATACTGTCATAGTCTTTCATTGCTGCTTAGGAACGAATCGAAGCAAAGCGATTGTTACCTAGTAGGTAAAATTAAATCAGCATGGAGTGACAGACCAGAAATTATCAAAGATGTTGCCAAGTATGGAAGGCAATGCCCTGAAAAGGTTTAGTGAATTAACTGAAAGGAATATAAGAGGAGGGCAGTCCTACAGAGAATCAAGGCCACTTCCCTCCTGATGGAAGGATGTCCTCAAGGGAACAAAATTTCTCTTAGATAGGTGCACCGCAGAGATCTTTCTGCAAATCTAGCTGGAGTGATATAAGATGTTACCACCCACAGCTCTTCATTGCTGTCCCTAAGCCAAATGACACTGGAAGTACTGCTGAGCCTGTAACTGCCTCTCAGTGCCCTAACTTCACTTTACTGCAAAATTGGCCAAGTCAGCTTGAATTGTTGCTGGAGGATAGCCCTCTGTAATTACTGTAATTCAAGGTAACCCAGATGACTTGAGTAGAAGGGGACTGAGAAGCATTTAAGATGACAGCTATGGCATCTCAACAGTGTGAGCTATGATCTCTTACGAGGGGAAGGAAAAAGATGGTTTGCTGACTCCTGAGCACCATGCTCACTTGCTTAGCACCGTTAGTTGATTTGCCTTCATTTCCAAAACGTTTCTGAACAGGCAAGCCTGAGATTACTTGGTCTTTCTCTGGCTTCTCCCGTGCTGATGTTAGCTCATACAGTGGGAAATTCTGCATGTATATCCCATACCTGTCTGTCCTGATAAGTGGCATGTGGAGGCTGAGGGACTGGATCACTGAACAGAGGCAAGATAAAGAGTAGCTACCCCAAAGTTATTCAGGGAAAAAATTACTTTCTACTGTTGACACAATTTGTTGTGCAAGATATATTTGGAAGGTAGGTATAACACCAAGGCATGTGGAAACAGGACCAGTTTTGGATCATAAATTGATTTTCCCAAAAGATTATTATGCAGAAATTCTTGTAAGAAATAGTGGTAGATGGGATTAGTTGGCCTTAGAGTACGCTGGACTATACTGTTGCTGCTGAAAAGTAGTGAAGTATAGCTGTCTGCCTTGTTATTGGTATTTGTATGGGAGCGATGGCCATTTAATTAGTTCTATTAAGTGAAAGCTGTAATGTGAGCTAACAAGCAGGTTGCTCCAGTGAGGGTTTTTTAATACTCTTTTTTTTTCTGTGTGTCACAGGTAAATGGAGTTGATTTAACAGGCAAAACTCAAGAAGAAGTTGTGTCCTTGCTGCGAAGCACCAAGATGGGAGGGACTGTTGGCCTTTTGATTTTTCGACAGGAAGAAACATTCCATCCAAGGGAACTGGTGCGTAAAATAGAGAGCAGCTAAGAGATTTAGATGAGTATGAGCAAATGATTTGATCTTGTCACCTGCTAGTAAACATGCCTGGCCAGCACTGAATATAAGGAAAAGAAAAAAAAGCTTTTTTGTTTTATTTAAAATATTTTACATGCATGTTTTATATTTTCTTCAAGATCTGCTATTGGAATTAAGTATTTTTTGGTACTGTATAAGTGAGAGCTTTATTTTGAGTGAAAATGTTTATAGAAGAAGGTATTGCATAGACTTTATTTGGATGCATGCAGACAATTAGATTATTTCATATCTTTCATAAGGACAAATCTATGTTTGAAAGCCTGCCATTTTTCCCACTACCTGCTCAAAAATATGTTTTAGAGCATATAATATTATTCCAAAACAGGATATGTAAATACTTTTCTATCCAAAAATCGAAGATATAAGAAATAGTTGCCTTTTTTGAATATAAATGCAATCTCTGTGGAATGGAAACCCTGCAGTTATTAATTTAGCAGGGCAATTCAGAAGATGTTTCTGAGAAATTTACATTAAATAGAAATAAAATGATGTTTCATACTGTCCCTGCTCCACTTGCATAGTGTATACAGATATTTCTCTGATAATTATTCAAGATAAATTCTGTTATGAAAAGGTAGACTGTAAATTGTAGCAGTCTTACTTTGTTCTGTACTCAATTAAACTGCTGAACTTATTTAATATTTGTATTATTGTAGCTATATATAGCTCTAAAAATAACTTATTTGGCTGCATTATTGTGAGAAGATAGACAAATATAAGTATGATGAATTGGTTGCTTCATTTTTCTATTGGATTTGTGTTATTTTGAATGCAAAGAGAATGGGTTTTTGTTTGACCATTTCAAGACATTTAACATTATCCTTTTACTTTTTAAAACTATAATTAAACCAAGGAAGTCAAAGTGGCAGGGGAGGTTGCAAATGAACCTCACTTTTACCTTAAAGTTCTTGGAACATGACTTCAAGTGCTGAAATGAAAGCTGTCATAAAATGAAATAAATAATTTGAGAACCTATTATGCCCTACTTATCACTGGAACATTGAAAGCCATCTGTTTATAAGTTCCTATGCTGTAATTTTCACAGTATTACTATCTTACATAAAGGTGAATGAAAATGCTTTTTGAGTTTTCTAAATAAACTTAGACATAAGAAAATGTCTTAATTTTGTGTATATTATTTCTGTGGTAAAAGGAGGAAGTTTTAATGCATATTTTGACACAAGTTTTTGTTTAAATAATTGTATACAAAGATGCAATGTGAGTAACGCAGAGATTTAATAGCAATACTTGAAGTAGTTTTAAAATAGCAGCAAATCAGCCCCTTGAAATGAGTTCAACCTCAGTAGCTTCCCTGCTGCGGCTCAGGCAATACTCCCTCAAATATTTTGGCAAAGACCAGCATAGGGAAGGCAGTCGTGGCTGAGTCAGGTAGTAGGTGGGCTTTGTGCTTTGTAATCAGAGATCAGATCTGAACTGGTGTGTTTTTCTGTAGCTCCAGCTGAACAAATGATATTTTGAGGATCTGACAGTACATGTGTGTGATGATCCTCTGTTACACAGGGACTTGTTTGCATTCTAACATGAAGGATTTTTAGGTATGCACTGCTGGCTGCTGTCAAAGAGCGGGAGCAGAATTGCTGGGGAAGGCGTTGAACTAAAACTCATCATAAGGGCTGTTCTTTATTCTCTAGTAAGAAATAACCCTAAAAGGAAAAACAGAAGAAGTCTTTTCCACCAGCTCCTCTCATGGACTTTTACTAGCTTTATGAAAAAAAAAATAAATGAAATAGGGATGGGAATGATCTGAAGTCATGTCAGTTGATGTTTTTCACATGCAAACCTTCTTTGGTCACCTAGGAACAATTTGTCTTTGCATCCTTCCCCTATTTCTATCATATATTCTACATTTGTGTGCTTTAAATAGTTACTGAACGAGATGTGTCTCAGAAATCATATGTATAAAATCATTTGTTATTTCATAAAGGGTAGGACTTGCTGTTGCTTGCTGAGGAGTGCTCAATATTAAAACTATTTTATATTTACCAACATTCATACAGATATCAATCCCAAAAAAAGAGGTGTTTAGATTTTATGTTTTGAGTTATGGCTCAGTGAATGACTTTTGAAAACAAGTTAAGTATCTTTGGGTTTCTTTTTAAGTAAAATGGAGATAATACACTTAGGAAAGTTGTGGAGTTTAATGTCTTTGATGTATGTTGCCATTATTGTATGGAAGAGATCTACAAGAATGTGTAGTTGTAGCTAAAACTTACATGATTGTTAAACTGAGCCCATTTAGGTTATTATGGGATCTTTGTAGCCTGTGTGATCAGGTCGGGGAGTATGTGCATGTGATTATCCAGTGCAGCAGATCATGGTTAAAGTGAGTAAAATGTGGAAGCAGGGAATAAAATCAAATTGGCAGAAGTCAGCTTTTCTAACCAGTGAGATCTGGAAGAATGATTATGTTTCGCCAGAATACCACACTTATTGCTTCCACAGTTACCTAATGCCAGATTAGGTAACTTATTAGGGCTTGTTCAAGTTAATGTGAGGTAGAGGCACATTATCTCTTAAAAATATTCCTTCTCTGCTCCCTCCCTTCATGAAAGGGGTGAGGATTACTCTGATTAAATAGAGCTCCTGTAGCACTGTGATTACCTCACGTACCTTGTGAAGCATTTTCTTAGAGCAGCTACTGACTATGGGAATCATCTGAAGGATTGGCTTGGGTTATTTAGTTTTAGAGCTATATTCTTAGTATCAACAGAGACTAGCTGACGGAGTTAATCTCCAGTACCCGACAAGTTAATATGCCCCTTGGTACATGTATGTCCTTTACATGTTTCTGGTAGTTGTCTCCTTCCTCATTTTTTCCTTACTGGTTGTTGGCTTCGGGTTGAAGCTAACTGGATGTTTGTGTTACTGCTTAGCCACTACATTTTTGTGCTTTATGATTTGAATCTCCTTCAAAACAGCCTAAAGCAAAAATGTCCAGTAAACCCTAGCATTTCATTGTGTCCCAGCTGAATGGAAACAAATAGCTGGTTGGCCCAAAAGTGATCAGCCAGACAGCAGCAAGGTGTCTCCTGAGTGTTCAAATGGACTTTATTATGGGCTTGGAAGAGCCATAGTTCCTTATGTGTGTTTCCAGAATAGTTTGGGGGGTGCATTTTCCAATAATGTGTGTCTGCCTTACGTGCCCTGAAACACAGGTGGGGAATGGAGAGTACAGGAGTGTCCCATCTCTGGTGAACTGAAAGAACCTTCCTGTCCTGGGGTATCCAGCACTGTAGTTCTGGTTCATCCAAACACGCTCAAAAGGGGAATCCCTTGATGAAATGAGAATGGATGTTTTAAAAAATAGATACTCATTTAAAATATTTGGAAGGGTTCATCTGGACTGCTGAGGTCATTCTTTGAAAACTTCAAAGCACAAGGGAAAGGCCAGGGGAGAACATCCCTGAATGAGAACATTCCACCAGCCAGAAAATGGTGCAAGCAGTCGTGGTTCTCCTTGTCCAGATAATCAACTCCCCCATAACCAAATAAAGTCAGGTGCACTACCACAAGATCACTGGAGTTATTTTTGTTCACCTCTCTTTTAGTGCTTGTTTAGACAATTTTCAGTCAGGGTTGTGACAAACACCCTTCATTTTTTCACTACCACTTCACATCAGAATTAAAGCTCTTTGTTTATCCCCTTGCTGATAGATAGTATATGTCATATGTAGTCGTGTTCTTATTTATTTTTTTTACTTCCTTTAGAATGCAGAACAAAGCCAGTCACAAATTCCAAAGGAAACGGTAAGAGCTTTGTCTTTTCCATATTGGAAGACTCCCAAATGTTTTTAACTTGATATGGCACTTCTCCATCAAAGTTTTACAGATCCTTCTTTCACCTTATATACTGTAGATGGCTCTCTGTAGCTTTAAATTTTAAATGCATTTTTAATGTAATTTCAAATACTATTTAAAAATTATATACTATAAGTTATTATATACATTCAAGTGCTACTTGAAATTACATCTTTTATATACAGCCACAGACCTAAAGTTAAATGATAAGAGTAGACTGTTAGCTTGGGTAACATATTGAAACTAATTGTTTTAATCATGATTATATGACTGAAATAAGAGACAAACACAGAAATTAGGCAGCTAAGGTTTAAGCTTTAATTGTATCCTCATAGCAAACTAGTGTTAATTATTTTTAAGAAACTGTAGGGAAATAGTATCAACTTTAACCTTGTGAAGGCTGAAAGTGGTCTGTGTGTGATGTGTCAGCAAGGCTCTATATTGAGGTTGTATACTGTTTATATACCTCACTTTCGTCAGAGGAACAGGATCAGTCCAATACACAATATACTATTACATATTAAAAATTTTTCTGAAATAAAAGGTTTATTTTATTAAATATTAACAGAGGATATAACAATAATATATTACCTTAAAGGTGCACTGTATTTTAGTTAAAAATGTATTTCAAGATGCTTAATTCAGTTAAGTACATACTTAAAAATTTAATAAGAAATTAGATTATGGAGAAATGGAGATAGTTCATGTGGGGATTTGGAATTATTTAAGCTGCAGAAAAACAAAAAGAGCTTGTCCAATTGCTTCAGAGTGCCCTACCACCAATGGTGAGATGGTGTCTGGGAAAAAAGAAAGTCAGGACTAAGTGAATAGATGTAAGAGCCATCTCAGTGAGATAGTCAAGGGTACATTGGCTGATACTATTATTTTTTCAGGCCAATGGAATGTAACTTAAAATGGGCATTTGGGTTGAACATAGCAATATTCACGTTTATCCTTCCAGCTTTTGGTGTCCTTCTAGTGTGAAAGTCATCTGCAGAAGGCCTCTGTGAAACATGGGTGTATCATTGTTTCAGACGTGCCTTGCAGGATCTTTTTAGCATCTCATTAGAGTACAGCATGTTTTTATCTTCATGGTTTCATACCACGTACTGCTGATATGCAAGGAGATCAAAGATCAAAGCTCAGGATAGTATTTCTAGCTGTAATTGAATACCATTGAGAATAACGTGTGGGTGCGGCCTTATAAAAGTGTCCTGGTTTTAGGAGTTGAAATTCTGCCCCAAAAGCTCATTAAGATAAGGCAGATTTCCTACAAGGTGTTTATAGAAATCAGTTGCTTATCTCTTGCAAAGTTAATGTTTTGGAGCAAATTCAATGGTGAAACCCTTTCTCTGGCATTCTTGGAACTGACACCCTGACCCATCTAAGGAAAGACCAAAAGAAAATAGGTATTTCTCATTTGTTCTCTTTACATGTGCGGTAAAAGTTGCTTGTTATCCAGGAGATTCTGCTGGAGGGACAGATACTGTATGAGTAGCTAGGGATTTCTGAAGAAAACAGCCAGAAAACCCTAGCAAGCCTTGGAAATATGGAAATGAGCTGGAAAACATATGAAGATATATATGGTTACTGAGGGAATGAAGCTAGAAACCTGGTCACTATAAAAAAAAAAAAAAAAGCCTAATGTCTTGTGTTTTTCATTCATTAGGGGTTGGGATTCTTTTGTTATTTATTTGAAGGCTCAGAACAACAATGATTGATAGTAGGAATGCTAGGTCTCTTTATATTGCCTACTCCAGTGTGGGAATAAAAAATGGACTAAATGTGAAAGGTGTCAGTGGGTATTTATAATTCACAATGCTTTTACACTTACCACCCTTCTTCCAATCTACTTTGCATTGGATAACTGTGATGCTCCAGTTCTACAGAACTAATTTTCCTCAGCTGCACATTAATAATACAGTTATACATTTTTTATTCTTATTTTTGAAAGTATTTTTCATTGATTTCTTTTATTCTCCTTGGTTCTGCCTCAGTACCTATTTATTTCTCCTCTGTCTACTTTTCAGGTCTTTGAGATTTCTAATCTTGCAATTTCTATTTCTGTGCCTGCTCTGATCTTTGTGCTGTTAGTTGCGAGGTTTTAGTCTCCAAGTGTCAAGGACTTGATAGTAGAAAGCAAAGCAAAAAAAAAAAGCCTCAACAAAAAAGCACGATGAAAGCAGTGAAGCTACAGAAATGAGAGAGGTGAAATGCAAGTCTGTTTTTAACTTAAAGACAAAATGGTTGTGAGGGTTTTTTTGTTGTTTATGTCTTTGTGGGGAAATAGAAGAAAAGTGCACCTTTGAAATTAAAAAAAGAAAAAGAAAAAAAACAACAACTTTGAAAGTGGAAGGCCTGAAATAAAATCTCAAAATATCAAGCCTAATTTATCAACAAATTCTTAACGCTCAGGGGTTACCTTCATGTAACTGTTACTTTGAAATGGTTTATATTAATGTTGTGGCACTAGAATGCAGTAGTTAGTCCTCATAGATGTAATAAATTAAAACCTTGAAGATCAGTTTTTTCTTTGATTTGTGTCCTGAAATCCTTGACAGAATTACTTGTTACAACCCATACAGAAAGCATATAACTTCATATTTTGCATACCATCACAGAATACAGATTTTTATATTCTCAGTCTTGAACTTCCATATGAGGAGATTTTGTAATTTGCTCGACTCACAGAATTCAGGCTTTTCTCTCCAGCGTCTTCAGTTTCTATTCAGTAACTGTGCCCTGGTGAAAACAGGACTGCTGGTTTTGCCTTCTATTTAGCCAGTGAACAGAGCTGGCATGCTGTTTACTTATGAAGCAAGGGAATCTCCTGTATCTTGGTTGAAAGATTGTTTCACCCAGCCACGAGTTTTTGCCATTTGTATAGCTGGTGACAGCATGGAACAGATGCACCTATTTCTAAATGTGGTGATTATTTGGAATGTAGGAAATTGACCGTAATATGAAAACTAGTAATTTATCATTATTACATTTCTGTTTCTAAGCATAATTATCTTAATCTGGTTACAGTGCATTGAAATGAACTGTTAATTATGCTATGTAAAACATCTGCCAATTAATTTTTCCTCATACTCTTTGAAAGTCAATAGTGTTTCAGTAATATTTTGCTTTTACAATTGTCATTTACTGTTTGTTTTCTGAATTCAGAACCAGCAAGTTAACTTTCATGTAAGCTGAATACTAGAAAATAATAATTATCATATAAGTATTTTCTAGGGAGTGTTGTCTATTGATGAAAGGCAATTCAAAGTTAGGATTCAGGATTTCATTTCATGATTGTTGCACTCAGCAGCATGAGAAAGCTTCAGTTTTCTGTTCTCATTTGTTTTTCTGTCAAATTGCTGTAAGTGAGCAGAATGTTATGTATTTTAGTGAGTGCAGGATTCGTAACAGTGACATAACAAGAGTGGTTGGTGTGTTGGAACAATTTATAAATGTTTAGCAGCCCTGATAGAAATTGCAAATGGAATTGCTTTTTATCGTCTTCTGAACTTGAACATTTGATACTCCTGTTATTATCTAGATTTTATTTTGATCATCATGTTTTTTCAGATCCAATTGCTGTTCTTACCATATACTTTGTGTGTGATTCTGAGTAAATTAGCTAGCTATATTTTTTTTTGAAAGAATTCATTACCTATAGGAATGGGGTGATACTGGTCAGAGGCATTTTGTAAGAACTAATGCACAGTTATTTTGTTTGTAACTTTTTGTGTTGTGAATGTGAGAGATAATATTCACAAATGCCTAGAAACACATGATTTGTATTGATTAATGCAATAGAAAATTCTTGGAGAAAAAACTACAGTCAGTGTTGAGCTTTAAGAGGGTGGTGTTCTGAGTGCATGTGTGTTCATCCTATGCTCAAAAGCTGTTTGTATTACTTCAAGATACCTAGTCACTGGAGATGTATCCATAGATATTTTTCAAAAGCTGTAAGTTTCCACCATTTTCTATTTAGCCCTTACACAGAACTTCAGCTTTCATAGCAGCTTGGTGTCATTCAGCTGATGCAACTCTTCCTTCACAGACAACCTCCTTTGAAAAACAGTTAAAAGCTTCATCAATTTCCATTGCTGCAAGAGGTGATCCAAATGTCTAAAAATTGAGCCAAGATCATACACTGTCTAATATCAGACTCACCAGCAGCGGTTCTGCTATCATTAGGTACAGAATGATTTTACTGAAAGAGGATAGATTTGACTGATGTTTAAGCTGATGCTGTTATTTCCTCCACAGTATTTAAGAGCGCTGCAGATATATTTTTGTACCTTTTTATCCTTTAATGGTGTGAGGCACAAGGGTGATTGCAATGTTTTAAAAGCCTTTTTTAGTGCTATTTTGAGTGTTTCAGATAATATTTTTGATAAAATCATGACATAAGAAACAGATCACTGACCATATGAAAGAAATAGATAGTGAATGTGTGATTTTCTGCAGGCTGCTGTTGTGGTTTCAGTCTTTTACCATAGCAGATACTCTAGTATTGAATAGCATGTTCTGGTGCATTAATGAGTAGAGATGAGACATTAATTCCTACTAAATAATTAATACAACAGTTGAGTGATAGTACTCATGAATGCTTTTTGACCAATCTGAATTTCCTGGAATGTGCAGTGATGATCCACATAAACTTCTGTGTAATGATGTGCTTGGAATTGACCCTCAGGCTCATAGTTTTAACTGTCACTTGCAGGTGATTTACGTGGGCTGTGATGTGGCCCACTTAAGCTGGCTTCATGCAGCACCATGGAGCAACTTTGGCAGATTTCTCAGCACTGACATTGGTAGTAGCACTCACTGGCCAATTGCCAATTTTGTAGAAGACAACATGTCCCTCCACTGGGGTTCTGTGACTGGGTGTTGCCTCAGTGCCACCCATTGCAGGGTCACCCAGAAGTCACACTGGTGTGTACAAACTTGGTGCA